CCCTCTCTCAACCTGGGTTGTGCGCTCCAAGGACTGGAAATTTCTCTCACATCTTGATCAGATTGGGGCATAATGTCTGTCTGTATTAAGTTTACCTACAATGTTGGTGGCCAGAGGGGCAGGCTGGGCACGAACCACAACCTGGGGGGGGGACATTGGGAGGCCGAGTTCGACCTTGGACCCATTTTTCCTTCGGGCTTGCAGCCCGCCGTGTTGATTGCAATGACACGACCCAAGATGCAAATTGTGGGCCGTACATTGCAGCAGAGGTTGTGGATTTGAGTTGCCCCCAATTTTCAGCGGGAAAAGATTCATTTCGTGAGTGGTCATGCCAAACATTCGACTTGAAGGGCGCCCAGAGAGAGGGTGGTTAGATTGGTTGGATGACTGCATGGCTGCGCAAAAAATTGATGTTGCAGGGCAAATTGCTGCTGGGGAAACCGTGGAAATACAGGGAGCTTCCTCTGACGCCATGAATCCGTTGATAATCTATCTTAGACTCTTTCTTGGATAGATTTCGTTGGGTCATAGTCTAAACTGCTGTACCAATTGAGAAAGTAAAAAAATTGCGGAGCAATACAAGTTGGGCAATACAGAAGAGAATACTTCCAAGTACTTTGTATGCTCGCTCCAGTGAGGCCCTTCCCCTCCACGGTACTGCTGTTGTTGGTACCCTATTTTGGAGAGAGATTTCACGGAAGCAAGCAGTGGACTCAAGCTATCTCGTGGAATTCATGGAGGTAGCCCCGGCCCGGTGGTCTGGTTCGATTCTCTCCTCCTGCAATTTTTCTCGAGTCTCTCTCCCTGTACTCCGTACTTTTCCCTACCCTAGCAATTTTCAGCAGACACAGGAGAGATCCGGCTGAGGAGCCCTGCTGAAATAGCCCGTCTCGCGATGGTTGATGAAAATACGAAAAAGCTACGTTGTAGGTCAAGGCAAGTACCTCACGAGGAAAGGTGTGGGGAAAATATCACTTCAAGAGAGTAGTCTAGTCTTTACCGCCACGAAGTATCCTGTGCGACATCCTCCTTTTAAATTTGTCTTATGACCCCCCGGCTGAGATCACGTTGGCAAAATATACAGGAAGGGGCCCGCATCCTAGAGTTTGTTATTCAATGGCAGGCTAAAGGCTCAAATTTATAATGCCGAGAGAGAAGATGAAACTGCGCCGTAGGTTCGAGAAACATAGCCCAGCGAGTGGTCGATAAACATCGTACTTCTGCTTGGGGTATCGGCGCGTGTACTGCGTTTTCACGCCCGCGGGCTCTTTCGAGAGCGTTTTGTATGAAGGATTGACCAAGTTCCTTGTATCAACGAGTCAACGAGACAGAGACATGGATGGGCAGGCTAGCAGAGCCGGTTGCGCGTCAAGTCCATCACACCAACCACACACATCTGCGTACCCCCCGGAGATCTCGGAGATTCTTAGCCTCCTGCCGACTACACACACAAACAATATAATACAGGTGTAACAACCTGTGCTCGACAGCAGTAGCGGCGACAAAAAGTCGAGCCTCGACCCCATTGTACGATTTTTTCTTGATACCTCCGGGCCCGTACGTTTTTTTTTTTGTTTTTCTCCCATCATTGGACTCTGTCGTCTGCCCCTCTGGCCCCTATCCTCCACTTCTACTAGCTAGACGACCCAACCGGGGTCACATAGGAGGGGGGGGTTGGACCCCCTCCTGCGGTTCATACTGTAGTAGACTGATTCACCCGAAACAAACGTGTGTAGACTAGACTATGTACATGATGGCACGAGTGCTAAGGTGTACCCGTTCTGGTAAAAGTCACAAAGCGAATCGGGTCCTCCTTAACGAACATACAAGGGAACCGACGAACACGTCGCTCCGGGCTTCTGTGAAAATAAGTCCAAGTTCCCTCGAATATTTCCATTCGCCACCTGGTGAGTGTACTCTGCGTACCACGATCTTCCGTGGAAGTGGAAGCTTCCATAACTCCCTCCTTCATGTAGGCATCATATTCCACGAGGTGGCCGGTGAGAATCTCAAAATTTCCTTCCAACGGTGGAAGTGATGGACGTCAACAAGGTTTCATGAAAGCTAGAAAAGTATTCGCAGTAAGTTTGTACTTTGGTGCATGCTTCCGCGGTTAGGTGTTGGACACGCTTCTTCCGTCAATCGAAAACGTTAGCTCTTCCAAACAGAAAAAATTGTGGGGGGGTTGACATTTTTGGGCCACGTCGCCAAATTTCTCATGAGGCCAAGAGACGATTCTCATGGTGCACCAAGATGTTGGCATTGTTGGTTTATTTGAGTTTTTCCGAGTAATTTTCCCAAACAAATCCGATGACGCGCCATCACGCACAATAGATCCTCATGGCGCACCATGGGAGGTTTGTGAACCTCACGGGCGTTTATAGTGCCCCATAACGTTATTTCATTTTTTTTCTGTAATAATCCTCTGTTGTGATTGTGTGACGCTACATGACGTACTACATTTTAGTGTTTGCGTGCAGCAGTCTGTATTGACGAGTGTATATATTTGCTCATCATGCCGCCTCATGTTGCACCATGTGTGAACCATTCCCATAGTCCCATGAGATATCTCATGGTCTGTTATGGTATGACATGGAAGTGATCTATCTCATTGCGCCCCATGAGCAATTTCGCGGGCCCCCATGAGATTCCATGAGATCTTTCTCGTGGTGCATTTGCATGCGAGACCTCATGGTTCCCCATGGTTCCTTATGGTGCCTCATGGCGGTCCATCAAACGCTGTGTTTTCATGGTTCTATTTGTATTTTTCCTTACCCCAAATTGCTTTCATCTGAAATGGTGACGGTTCCAACGTGGGAGCCCCTGATCCCCCTCCCTCCTCGGGACTTACGCCATCTTCCTTTTAGCCTTAAAACATGATTCCCAAGGGTGGCTGTGTTCTGTGGGGTTTGTATTCCAGTTTTTGAAGCCCCCACGGGAAAGCCCAATCATATATTTGGTAATGTATTCCGGAGTGTACACTGAAGTGCAGGAAGGGCGAGATGGCCGGAAGGTATTCCTCTGAGGGCCGATCCCACATTTTTGTCATCTGCGTGTCTCCTGCGAGGTTGAGGCACGCATGTCTAGAGTCACGTTTCCCTTTCTCTCCCTAAATAGTACATGACATTCCTTGACAGTCATCGTACAATCAAATCTAGACATTGAGCAACCCCTGTAGGACCGGTCCTGACGACGGTGCCAAGCTTGAAGGAGCACAAGCCTGGTTGCAGCTTGGCCCTACAGGGTTATGTGAATTTGGTCGCTTTTCGCTCTCGATCCACTATTGACTGTGCAGGAATGTGATAGTCTTGATCTTTGTATGGGGAAAGAAAGGTCTGCACCATTGTAGACGCGTGTCTCCACATCGTAGGGGGGACGCAGATCGTGATGATGTGGGATAAGCCCTTGGATGTGCTCCTCAGGGATCCCACATCGTACTCTTCAGGAGCAACACTAAGTTTTTCGTTTGCAGCAGCAATCCGTATCACTGGCACCCGCAATCAACCGTGCATCAAGACCATTCAAGTACCTTGTCATTCATTACTCTGAGACCAAGCTCCGACCAGTTTGTGCTTCGTTGATGTGCTTGAGAATGTCAGGCAGTATTTTACCGAAATTTCGAGGTATATTCACTACCACACCGTGGTAGTGTCTAAAAGTATACCGTAACCGCACCATATGCATTTACATAAGAAGGGGTATTTATCTCGGTGTTTCTCAACAAAAAATAACATCCGGGTGTTTGCCTTCCACTTTTCCCCGGTTTGCTTGCGCCTGTAGCGATCCACTTCATTAAGGGTACAATCCCCCAATGACTGTCGAGGACAATTGCGATTCCCTCGTTTGATGTTGGCGTTGCGACGAGATGACTGATTTCCTTGAGCAGTTTCTCAGCTGGTCCAAGTTACTCCGCCGAACAAAGTGTTGTTCCCGTGCTCAAGGAATCTGCCACGACAGAAGCACTTGATTTTAGCCTAAAACGATTACCAGCGCAGACGCTCACAACCTTTCGCATTTGCAGCGCGGTAGTGTGCAAGCCGCTGTGGCAAAGGGTCGCCCACAAAGTCGATCGGGGGCTCGTTCATGAGCACCGTTTCCCGTCGTTGGGAATACTTGCTACGTAGTAGCCCTACCTCCAGTTGTGTTACAAGCACATATTGAGAACTTCGTAGTTTATTGTAGGCAGACATTGGGTGTTTTCATGGATATGTTCGACGATAGGCGTTGGAATTCTCGATCTTCATGATATTTATAAGCGAAGCTTCACTTTGCGCCTACGGCAACTGACCACGCTACTTTCCCCGAATCGGTGCAGCCAAGACCAGGATGCGCGTGCCTTGTAGCGCCGTCTTCTTGCTGGCGGTGGCAACGGCCGTAGATGAGGAAATATTCACGGCGAGAAGTTACGACGGCACTGGGAACAATCAAGACAATCCTACCTGGGGCGCTGCGGGGACACCCCAGGTGTGGTGACAAGCACAACAATGCGTCCATGATTCTCAACACTACTCCTTTGATGGTCGCACGTATGTTCTACAGTATTGCGGAAAACAACAGGGCTCGATGACCATAGAGCTCATGAGCGGAAAAATGACTTAAAGTTGGTTTTTTTCCACTCTGTTTTCGACGCTAGCCAGCTCAGTCGGCCGTCCCCCAACACCTCGCTTTCGGTTGTGCCTTCCTCCTCTTGCAATGCCCCGCGGCCTACTTTGCAGATACGTTCGCCAGCTGGTTTTTTGTTTGCGGACGACGCATTCACTCCGCTGGAGGAATTGAGGCCGACTGCGCGGCAAGTACGGCCGTAACAGGATTTTATTTCATCTGAGGTGTCATGCCGATAACCATTTGTTTCTAACTTTGGTTTGTTGGCCCTACCCTCAGTCCGCGTTCGGGCTCGAAAGTGTTTCGACATGTCTGCGCTTCGTGCACCTTAACCCACTCATCGCCATCTGTACTCTAATCTCCGTTCATTGCTTTGACCCACAACCGTTGACAGGGAGATGATGACGGACGTGTTCCTGTCGTCTCCACCGAAAGTTTCTGAAATGAACACGGTTTTCATCGCTTGGGGACAGCTGCTGCTTCTCGATTTGTCCTACACCGTCGATAACAGCTCGGAACCTTTCGATATCGCTTGCGATGACGGAGGGGGCTCCGTCGACGTTTGGTGTCCTTTGGGGGAGGCATCTGATCCTATCTCCTTTTTCAGATCCGAAGCAACGGTGACTGATTCTGTGCGAAACCCGATCAACTACGCCTCCTCGTTTATCGACCTGGACTTCTTGTATGGAAGGAGCGAGGACGCTGCCGATGCCCTTCGTACCTTTGAAGGCGGAATGCTGAGTATGGCAGATGACAACATGCCCATCAAGAACAACGACGGGACTTGGTTGGTAGGTTGACGAGGCCGATGTACTTGTAGAACTCTCGAACAGCAGTGTCGAGCGCCCAACAGAAGATTATTCAAGTTGTCAGAACCTACATGGTCGATACGTCGTGTCTGTGACAAGTAACGGTTTGTATATACACTGCGGTCAACAAGATGGACTCTCCCCGACGTTATTCTATTGTCGGCGGCCATCCACCGAAAAATTGCTAGCCAGCTAGTCCCTAAGCCTGTATCAACCTCCACGTTTTCTTCATCTTGCCGCTGCCACCTTGACGCCTACGGCAGATCGCGGATCAACGGACAGCCAGATTTCCGCTGACGTTCGCCCTTCACATCGTTCTCCTCCTCGAGCACAACCGCTGCTGCGTTGACGTCGCGCCCGGCCTGAACTACACTGGCGACGAGGTCAGTCATGCTGACGACATCCTTTTTCCGAGCGATCATTCCCTTGGTCACGTATTTATTCGTTATCGCAGTTTCGAGCATCATCTTGTTAGCTTTGAGTTGAAATGGTAACATTGAAAGTGAATAAACTTGGTAAGTGTTTCCGGTGTGGTGAATGGACGTGGCTGCCATGCCTACCCACCCGCTCCTGACAGTAATCAAGAGTGAATGGCCTGTGCCTAGTTTCCGTGTCAGACTATGCGTACCCAATCGTATCGATTTTGGCTTTAAAAAGGGTACACGCAAGGTGTTCGATGTAGAAAACCCAAATTTGTTTGGAATGGTAAAACCCATTTTATTGTACCAACCCTACATTGCGAACGAATGCCGAGGACAGCCCCGCATTGATGCCAGGAACCTCCCGCACAGCGGACAAATAGACTCTCTCCTCCGGGTACATGCTAGGATTTTCCTACTAGTTTCATGAGGGTGAACGCTCTTGAAATCGTCAGGGCTAGCGATGGGGTTCGGATAGCGATCGCTGACTTAACAGTAGTAGCAGTTGTCAAGTAGACCCGTCTGGTGCTTCTCCATGTGCGGTTACCTCACAGCTGACGTGCAACCTGCCGACTTCGCACACAACAAACTCCTCGGTTGCTGTACAGGATATTTATCAAGCTTGCCGAGGCTGGACGATCGCCACATTCCAGCACATAACTGAAGATGAGTTCTTGATTCTACTCATGGGAAGAAGCATCGGCGATTGGACCGTGTACCAAGATGACAATGACGGCAGCCGACGAAGACTATCCTCACAACAGCGGAGGGAGCTGTTGTTTACTTTCGACTACTACGACGACACCGTGGACCCGTCCGCCGACGTCTTCGTTACGGTGGCCATGACCGCCGCGTTCGAGTCGGCGCTGCCTTCTACCCTCCGCATTGTGGGCGAGGGGTATGTTGCTACTGACTACGATCACCTTGAGCTCACCGTTGCGGCAGATGATATCACAGGCCTGTTCGAGCACAGCACGATCGGGGACATTCTGCGTGGAGCGGTTTTATCGCCCGCGATGGCGGTGGGGGCGCACTACGCTTCGGCGGTATCGAACGCCTCGCCGTTGTTCAAACTTCCAGTTGACATGGTGCAGCGGGCTCGTGATCATGGGGTGCCATCGTACAATGACGTCCGGGAGGTGAGTCCTGAAATTTCTCAAAACGTTTTGGAGGCGCTGGTGCTACCAACAACGCCCTGTCGAGGTGAGGGTGAGGAGCGAGCCCTCTCGGTCGTAGTTGGACGTGGGGGTGTCGATCGTCCCATGCCTCAGGGCGTGACAGAATGCTCAGTCCTAGGAAGAAATGCTAGGATATCAACCGGAGGTGAGCTTTAAAGCGTAGGTCCCTATCGTCATCTTCGCAACGAAGCTCCCCCACGTGTTCCCAGGCTGCTACGGGGACACATTTTCATGAAAACAATAGTTCACCCTCCTGTTGACATGCACGAACAATACAACAGGCATATGACCTTCCCAAGGCCACGGCCATGTCGGATGTCTCGGCGGACGACGACGTGGTGGAACTCCTATATGCTGCATACGGTGGAGAAATCGAAAACCTCGACGCTTGCGTCGGGGCCTTGGCGGAGGAGAAAGAGGCGAGCCTAGGTGGCAATTTCGGCGACCTGCTGCACACAGCATGGGTGTACCAGTTGTACAGGACATTCTTCGGGGACCGGTACCACCACCTTCACTCAAGGCCGATCGAGAACGTATCACTCGCGAGTATCTCAGGACTAATCAATCAAACGCTCGGCGTGACTGACCTGCCGGAATCGGGTTTCATGGTGCCTGAAGTTACCGTGTGCACCGGGGAATGCGAAGCTGCGGGAATATCTGGGGTCTCGTTGGCAGAGCGCTACGCCATGTCGTGGGAGGTATGCGATGTCGTTGAACGAATGCTTGTTTGCTAGGTTCTCGGATTAAAACTGTACCGATATCACTCTGATCCCACAAAGTGAGTCATCGACACATTCACCGACGTCCAGCAATGCGACATTCGCTGCTTCGCGGAGCTTTCGGATGTACACAGTTTGGTTTGTTTCTCGGGTGAACGAACGGGCGGGGGGAAACAAAGGGCTCCTCTTGCACGCCGCGCCCGTAATAATCTTTCTTGGGGGTAGACTCTTCCCCTAGTCATTCGAAGTTTGATTCCTCGCGAACAAGCAATCTCGAAGGAGTGTAACGGCCGGGTTCGACTGCGTTGATCATCCATGTTTCACCACCTGGGGCCGCAAGCCCATGGAGGTGGTTGCCTTACGGGAAGTCTGCGATGGTCCCTTCTCTGCCACGTTGTGGCAATAGTTGCGTGATGGAAGAGGTAGCTGTGTTGGACGTTTGGACGCTTCACCACCATGCAGATTTCAATGATGCCGCTCCAGGTTACCGAGCGGCATACGGTGATAGCGAAACGATTTTTTCCGGGCTTGACCCCCATGGCGATACATCTGTTAAAAACCTTGGCTATTTCACAGATTGATGATCAATCGATATCGATTTCCTTGAGTGTCCTGGATATCGGCGACAGCGGGATGATAGGCGTCGGCTTTGGAGGAGAGTCCATGACGGACGCCCAGGTGCGAGAAACCAAGCTGTAATCTAATCGCTCTGCATTTCTGAACACGACGGTCTGCTTGGATCTCTTTCTCAAGTGAGCGCGCCCGACCGTCCTCCCGATGCTCGACCCGTATTCCTGCTATGTTTTTTTCATTTCGCTCAGGTGGGTGCGGACTAAACTTTTGCTAGAGCTGATTTTCAGGTCAAAGCGAAACAAGTCACAGTTTACAGGTCGTTCTATTGGTTGTCGTTACCGTTGTGTTCCACCCGAGGGATCAGCGCTACGCAATGAAGCCGCAAGCAGGGAATGGAGGAAAAGGCTCGAAAACAATGCTGTGTCTTGTCATCCAGGCGGGAGGCGTTTCTCTCCTTCGGGGATGTGCTCGACTTTGGCAAACAAATCCCCTCTAATGTCGGTGTTCGATTGGTGGGAACCGTGTCCTACACTTTGTGCGAAGTACCTCCCCACATAATCGGCCAGCTCAGCTTGCGTCATGATTTTTCTCTGCTGTTCATAACGTCATGATGCCAGTCGACAGCAGTGGATATCCATACTCTGTGACGGCCGAATACTCACTTGTATGATTGTGTGCGCGGGGGTATATATGCATCAGCGATTCCAACCAGCTCACCGTCGTGCTCTATTCACGTCTTGCAGCATGCGGTTCAACACAATCGTCTACTTCCCGATCACCACTGACTCTTATTCTGGTGTGTTGATGCATGTGGTACCCTCCAAAGGATTTCGTCATATGTGAGGTCTTCTCAGGGGGCGATGCCGAGTGCATCGACCGGGCTCCCACTGGAGGGCGATCGGAGCCGCAGCCGGACTCCTTGGGATCAGAGCTCGAAGGTACCACCGTAATCTCGGAGGGACGCTGGACTACAGTGACGTTCTTCAGGGAACGGGCGACGCTGGATGCAGAAGACTACGACCTTTTTGAGGTGGGTACTACACCTGATGTACGATTTAACTTTTGTGTTATTTTGACGTGCCCGTTGATGGCCGTCTTGTCTCTTGAGGAGCTCGTAACACGGGTTCCGGTATTCCCTACCTGCGGCCAGTGATGCGACCGCTGTGAATACAACGCCGACGTAAGGCCAAGCTTACCCAGCCTATGTCAACCTGCATGCATGAATGTTTTGATGTCGGTACAAACGAAATATATTTTGCGGCATGCATGTCGCCCCGCATGCTATGTGCTCATCGCTTGTAGGATATCGAAAACGAAGTGGACACCCTCGTCATCTACGCGTTCAAGAAGGGAGAGGGCGTGGGGCAACATCCAAACACCAATCGTGGAGCGGCCACGATAAACTTCGTCACGGGAGACGTAGACACTCATTGCGACGGCGAGACCAACTTCGTTTCGTTGCACGGCGCGCTGATGCTCATCGCGTGGATGCTCATCGCACCGTGGGGCATCTACTACGCGAGGTGAGCAACCTCAAACGATAATTTGTTCTATTAGAGTTTTCGGATGTCACTTCCTGAGGCAAATCGCGACTGAAGCTTTCGACAGCAAGAAGATCCCCTCTTCTCCGTGGCTAGCTAGGTGAGGTGGCAACTGATTGGTACTGACAAGTCAGACGTGACGCTCGCTTTTTTGCCATTTGCGGAGCTGACCAGCAACAAAACATGTCCAAACGACTGATTCAACCTTGGCGCGTTTGGCCAGCCGTGCCTCCTCCCCTCACAGCCGTAGTATGTTGTTGCGTGATCTCCAGCCGCAGAACACGGTGATTGGTTGCCGAAAGCACAACCTCGCTCATGGCGATGAGTCGTCTCGAACATTAATCGTGTTGCATGTGACACCATGGGCATTATCCCAGGTACCGCAAAGGCGACGCGATTAAGTGGGCTGGACGCCAATGGTACGAGATGCACGAGGAGATCATGATCGTTGCCTCCGAAGCCGTGCTCCCCCTTGGGATCACTGCTGTATTTGCTTCCAGGGGCAGGACCTCGGAAGCGCACGCACACTGGGGGTACTACATGATCGCCGCGGTCGCAATGCAGATCTTCACGGGCTGGATGAGGACCAAGGGGTTAGAGGCGAAACACTCGAACTTTTCCTTGCTTCACAGGGTGAGATGAGCAAGACATGTTGTTTGTCGATAGACGTGTACACCATACTGGTATATTTTTTCCGCATGCCAGTACGTCGAATGTATTCTTTGCTATCCGGCAAGTTCCAGGCAGGTTCCGTTCGCTTTGAGTGTTCGCGTCACGATCCACGTTGTTCATCCCAACAACCGAACCAAGGCTACTCAGCCTCAACAACAGGACTGGATACCATCAGAAAAAAAAAAGAGTTCCTCAATTGCCACGCAGTTGATTATTCTCCTAGGCTAATCAGCTACTGCGGGAACTCCCTTGCTCAACAGTTCAACAAGCACTTCCACATCTGGGCCGGACGATTCGCATACGCAGCCGGATTGGTGCAGTGCTACCGAGGGCTGGAGCTCGTGTCCTCGGACGATGAGCTCATATTCTCCGCAGGCGATGGCCTTGACCTGCAGGTGAAGCCACGGGAGCGAATCGTAGTCCCTCGTCACCAAGGATTCCACGTCACCCCGCACCTGTATTGATCGTGACGAATGCGGGCAATATCGTTATTTCCTACTTCATGAGGCGTGCTCCTTAAATTCCCAGCGTTGGTGTGATCACTTCCTTTGCGGATGAGCTTGATTTATATGTAGGAGTGCAAAGGACACAACAGATTTCTCGGGATATACATGAAGAAACACCCCCGGCTGTGATATCGAATCAATGTGTCGCTGTCCTCCTCTTCCTTCTTGGATACTGTACTTGATGGTGACAATCTCCTGTCAGTTCGCGCTGTTTGTCACAACAGTCTCCTGATGTTCGCTCACGTCTTGCTGAAATTCCTGTTCGCTCTCTTTCGACCGAAATACAGCTCGGCAGCTTCGGTTGGGTCAAGGACTACGTGTTCCCTGCCTGGTTTGCGCTAGTCGCCGGCGGCTTTCTTGTCTTCGAGGCGCAAAAGCAATACCAGCGATTCTTCAAGAAGGGAGCGGCTAGCGTGTGTGGAGTTGTGTCTATTGTCAACGAGCTACACGATGGCTCAATGCACAAAGGCAGGCTGATTCCGAGAACGTTGGACCTTCCTATCTACAGCGTTGCAGCATTCAATGACAAGGTGAACTAGGACCGTGGACTTGTGGCGAGCGGTAAAGTGTCTGGCGTGCTTCGGGCTGCAGAGTGTGCGTTTCATTGATTTGCTAGAATCGCATTAAACGTGGAGGCATCGACAACGGGTTTCAAACTCAATGCACAGTCTTTTCGCATTACGCCCGGTCATGAACAGTTCGGGGAGTGGGTTATTCTTTCACCGTGCAAAGCGTGTGTCGTCCAGAATAAACCTCCCGCTCGACTCCTATGGTCCTTGGCCTAAGTTGTTTCCAGTCAAAGTCTCGACGCCATGAACCTCTGAGCGAAACGTGTCCCACCAATTCAGAAATAATCGTAGAAAACATGTGGCAAATGCAACCAACAGCATGCGCCTCCTAGGTCCCGCGAGTTACGCAATAAATCGAAACAATTTCCCGACGTCCACCATGTCACCATTCTCTTGGTGTCTCACGCGGACTAGAACCAACACCACAAGACCGTGCGTGATGTACATGGGTCTTGCGGCCGGGAACTTACCTGTCTTCCGACCAAACTTTCTTCGATCAGGTGTTGAGCGGCCAGTCCTGGTTGATGGTGGATGAAGCAGTTCTGGATGTGTCCGACTTCGCGCACAGACATCCAGGGGGCAGGCGTCTCATCCTCAACGCCTTGGGCACCGATGTTACTCAGGAGCTGCTCGGACAAGAGAATTCTGTGGGACATGCCATGTCCTTCCCACCTCACGCTCACACCGGGGTGAGTGCGCGCTCGACAGAACCAAATTTCACTCCTGTTGAATATATGTGGAACAGACGTTCCATGTAAGGCGTGTCGTTGTGATGGTCCTCGAACAGCAAAAACAAGATGGTGTGACTGCTGACCACCTCGACAATCACACACAGGCCTCTTGGAACCATTGGATGGCAACGCAAGGGCAAAGCCTGGACAACTCCCTCCACAAATTGTCGTCAGGGGGGTGACTGGACGATGCGATATTTTTCGTAGCATTGCAGTTATATCGCCACCAACAAGGCCTCTGACCCACCTGTTGCGCCTACCCCTTGTCTTACTCGCTGGCGGCAGAGTGCATGGCGAATCATTCGTTCGCTTGTAGTCGGCTACATCGAGGAGAAGGACGCCGGGGAACCTTCAGCTGCCTTGGAAGATGAACAAGAGCAGGAGGGACAAGAGAAGGTCGATACAACGACCGGTGATCTTCCCGTTCCTGACACAAACAACCGGACGTTACGTCTCGCGGGCAAGGCGGTAATGCTGAACAACCGACTGGCCTTGGGCGACGATACCCTGGCAAGTGACGATCCACGTCACGATATTCATGTGTCTCGAACAATGACCGCACAGCCAACGAATTGCATGTAACGACAGGCGTTCGGAAGCATCCACATGATGATGTATCTATGTGCATGTGAATCGAAATTAATCATTTGGATGTGAGATATATTGTGGGCCGGCCGTTGAGAACTTCTACACCACGCCCAGCTACTTGGTCACGAAGCTGCTCCCGACTTCCCCTCGTTATTGCGATCGCCTGGTGAGATATGCCTTTTCCGTATCAAACCATGCCGATAGGTCGTGAGGGGCGGCATGGAACCGATGCTTGTTGTTCACTTGGTTTCGTGGTATGCAACATTTCCTCAGGCAACTAAGGCCATGCGGCTGAACGACTTGGCTGTCATTCCCGCTCCAGCCAGGCGCCCCTCGAGAACGGCAGCGTCGAACAACCCAGCAAGCGTTGTTGGCAAGCCGCCCAAAGAAATGGACGTCGTAAGTCTCCAAGTCTCCCAAATTTTTGTCTCGTCGACTGTGCAGACGTGCCGAGACCTTTTTTGTCGGTCTATACTATAGTGCTTGTTGAATGGACGCCCTGTTCCCAACTGAATGATGGGCAGATGACCATATAGTTGCACGTTCAGACTCCCCAGCTGTTGGGTTTGTGTGCTGCTGCCTTTTCCCGCGAATTTCAATCGGCGTCAATAACACAACACGTCGAAATCCCCGGGAGGGAAAACCCGGCGTTGCCAGAGGGAAACCCCAGCATTGTATGAGCGAAGTTCCAAGGACGACATAAGGGCTGATACCCATGTTATTTTCCGTTGAACTGGAACGGAACGTTTGATACATCAAAGCCCCAGCGTGCCGATGAGAACAACGGCGTAAGGGAAAGCAGAACGAACTTGCTCGAGCGATTTCAAGTATGCCCCCTGCTCTTCCGAGAGAGGATGGGAGCCGCCAGTGCCGTGGGCCGCGGTCACTTACCCAGCAAGCGCCCGGTCTACAGATACATTTTTTCGTGTCCCGCTAAGGCGCAAGCCCAGGTATGCACACCCTCGTTTCCCTTCACTTGTGTTGGGCGTCAAACCTCTCCTTCAGCATGCTCCGCTGTAGACACGAAGACCCGCCAGCCGACGTAGCTCTCGTTATGCCGCTTGCTTTGCATTCTGAACAGCCGGTCGGGCCTGTTTGTAAACAGAAAACATAGACAAGAAGGGGAGAAGTCGGTATTGGATATCGTCGAATGCGTACGTTGACATGACGGAATTGGGGTCCATGAAGTCAATGTCTCTTCCTGTGGCCCCGTCGTGCACGTCAAAACAGCGCGAAACCCTATCCAAGCCGAGGGACACAAAACCAATGTGTTGGTCCAGAGGTCTTCGGTGCTGATGTCGCCTAGCTCTCGCATCACACGGTTTTTCTGTTCTCTGTTGCGCGGTATACATTTGTCGGCCACGTCCTTGGTCAACCGGCAGCCCATGTGATTTTGATTATTTTTTCGTAAGTGACCTTGTGGTTTACACGGATTAACAATCTTCGGCCCCTTTCACTTTCGTTATAAAAGGCGCTGGCGGTTTCAGGGGTCTGCTACTTCAACATGCGCGCCCAGGAAGCGGGAAAGGTGAGGCTTGAAGCGAACGGGGCGGTGGTGAATGCCCTCGGGGATCGCCTTTCCTGTGCGAGGTACATGCTTACCTTTTTCGTGCGCTACCACGGGTTGTTGCGGCATCGTTGTGGCGTGCCCGCCCTAGAGATCACGTGACTGAACACAACGCTCCTAATGCTACGCTGTATTGTGCGGGGTTGGTTTTCCTCTCGCCCAAGAGGTGATACTGCATTCTGACAAGTGACCAAGTCTGTTGAACCATATCAATAGTTTGTTTGAATTGTGCAACTGGCTCCCGAGGGAGTGTTTGCGTTGGCCGTATTGATGGAAGTTTCATCCAATCTACCACAAGGGCTGTCTCCACATATCCTCTAGAAACACGAGTGCCGTCCCTGCTCCAATGGTCGCGGTTGTGGAGCTGCTGCTGGCATACTTCGGGTATAGTTTTAAGAGAGCTGGATGTGGCATGGCAGGGCCCCCTACAGGCCTTAATCTCCCACACTGCTGACAGTTTTGCTAAACCGCCCATGGGACACCCATAGGTCACCCGTGAATTACCCATGGGCCGGCCATGTGCACATCAACCTAGAGCTTCGTCACCGGCATATCAACCTAGAACTTAGGCACCTGCACATCAGCCTAGAACTTAGCCGCCAGCGCCAACGTACACGTTCGTGTGGGCTTGGGGTTAGGCTTAGGGTTAGCGTTAGGGTTCATGGGCGCTTTAGTGCCCATTCCAACGCGGATAATCCATTGTTTAGGAGTGGAGGGTTCGGTTAAAGGGTTATCATTGGCAGCCCATGGGCTTCCCATGGGTCGCTCATGGGTCAATTGGAAAAACTGTAGACAGTGTAGGAGACCCACAGGCCTACCCTACAACCTGGCTATCTGCGTCCCCGACTGAGAAGCGAAGATGCGAGGTTTGAGCACACACGGTCAAAATCATTCTCTGTCGACTTGATTAGTGACTTGAGATTTCCTACGGAGTATTATAATTATAATTTTGTTTGCCCTCCGACAATTGTAGTTTTTTTTTTTTTTGCCTTCCGACAATTGCAGATGTACCTCAGAAAACTTTAACTTAATGTCTCATACTCTACATGAATATTAAACCAATACGAAGTACAATATATGTAGGACGTATTTCTACTGTCACTTACATCGTGAAAATATCTCCTCTTCAAGTTGAAATATAACCAATGACAATCCTCATGGTATTCTATATGCGGAGTATCGGAAATCGGCATGGATTTGTTCTTCGCCTTCTCGTCAGCGGCTTTGTTCGTGTTCTCAACGTGGTTTGCGTCTTGGCGACAGGGCATAGTTCAGCGGCCGTACAATGCCTTTGCCGTGAGATTGCTGGACGTCGAGCCACCCACACCGGGCGGAAGGGTGGCCTGGAGCAAGAATTCTGCGAAGTTGCCGAAGGTCAGCACACTGTAGACAAATCAAGCGGAAAAAACATAAATGCGATGTAGACGGCATACTTCAATTTTCTCCTCGTTCGCTACACACACCTGGACCTGAAGGTTGATGCAAACTGTAACCTCCATGGACTGGTCCGAACGACATGTTAAACCTGTGCCACCAGGCTCTCGTGCGAGTCCGCACCTGTCCCATCGTTAACGTTAACGCTCGCGTGACGGTTTTTCCTGTGTGTGGAAGGTTGTGCCGGCAGAGGAGACATCGGAGGGCATTCTGTGCATCGAGATGCGCATCAGGATGTACCACGACGGGGCCATGAGCAAGCTGCTAGAAAAACTCTCCAAGGTGAAATCTACGATCGATTCCCCATCATGATGTTCTGCAACGGTTTCGGGAAGTTGCTCTGGCAGTTTTCTTACCATCCTCCTCAAGCCGGATATTTTCGAAACTGAGGCCATTTTCGTGTATATAATATTTTGGCTCATGTGTGCTGACCTTTTGCTTAAGGTGCCGGTACACCGGCCACTACCATTTGTTTTTCATTGTCAAAATTACACTACTTGTGTTGCGGGTACCAAAATCTCCTTCAAGCGTCGAACATCAAAATGTGACAGAGGAATAATTACATCACCATGAGTGGGGCGTTGTGGATGAGTGGGGACTTCGTGAACATTTCCCGAGCCTAAATTTCAAATTCTATACTGCTGGTTGACCGAGGGAACCTGTACACTCAGCTCTCGATGTTGATTCCGCGTCAGATAATCGTTTTTTTTTATCTCAAACATTTTCTTATCCACCCATGCTCCGCTGAGATGCTAAATACCCGGATCAGCGAATTTACATTTTCTCTTGACAAACGTCCATACAACTCGTCTCCAGGATACCGACAACGCGGTAGTCCAGCTGCAAGGACCGTTCCTCATCAAGAAGCTCGTTCCGCCACCGGCCCACCGCAACGTCATCATGATTGCGGCGGGCACAGGCGTCAACCCAAGTGCGCAAAGATGGTTTCCGATGGATGTGTTGTCTCTGCAATAACGTGTTCGCTTCCGGTGTGTGTGTGACGAAGACAACTCGCCAAATACCCAGTATGCCGCGGATGTTCGCTCCGCGCCCTTGGAACCAAAAACGGAATTGCTTTGGATTTGGGTGTTGAAACGTCTTGCAAGGTTTACCGACAGGGTTCAGGTTAGGCTAACTTAGGGTTACCCCAACTCTCCCTGCCCTTGCCGTGCAACTGATGTCAGAAATTGGCAGTACAATGTCGTAAGTACCTCAGGAATTGTGCAGACCCACGCCGCAGAGTTCACAGCACATGACCGCAGGAAATCGACGGCCTTTCCTGTGTATCGTGTCAGACAGTTCAGTGCTACCACCTTTGTCGTACTCGCCGCCAGCGATGTCGTGTTAGACTCCGTCCACCACATCAAACCGAGGCGATGCCAGAGGTGTTCTGTGACGCAAGCAACGAAGTGCCGCAGCCGACTGTCGCCGTATCTTGACGTCCCCGCGCAACCTTTGTATGCCCCCCCGCCGTATCCCCTGCGTGAAATCATTCGTGGCGTGACGTCCCTACTGGTGGGTCTCCGACGATCGAACAAACGGCTGACGGCAATGGCAGTGGTCCAGCAGATTCGGAGTTATCTGAGCATTCCCAGGTGAGCGGTAAATCATACGCGGGATGGCTATCATCAGCACCTTTTCAACGTCTCCGAAAGCCTCTTGCTTGCCGACGACTCGCATGAACAGCAGAAGAATTTCGCGCGTAACGCGGGATCCCTCCCTTCGTATTTTCAATCACCCCAGGGACACCATGTTCTCCAAGAGGCCGCGGCTGGTCCTCGTTTGGCAGAGCACGACGGAGGCTGACTTCTACTCCACCGACGAAATCACGGCCATGCAAGTAAGTCACCTTTGCATGGATCAGTTTGGATATGCAGGCATTCTCCAATCGCCGATGATATGGCGTGGCCGGCTCTTTGCCATTCTGGTGTCGCTCCCACTGTTGGACACGTCCCGAACATTGATCGCCGGACCATCCACCCCGCCCGGGCTTCTTGAATTGTTATTATCCAGGAGAAAAGCAATGGACTCTTGGAAGTGACTGCTCTCACCAGTGAAGGAGGTCGTCGTCGGAATGCTCCCGGTGCAGCCTTCCGCAAGGCCCGCGACATTGCCTGGAACGTCTTCGGTTCACCCGCGCCTTCAAACACCAGCTCCGCTAACCCCTTCACTCCTGCGGGGTACGTTGCCACGATGATTTCGGGGTTATCAAATTATCCCCCGAAGACGCATGTTGATTGATCGCTCTTTCGTCGTCACTTGCACGCATAGGCGTACCATTATATTCAGTATTCCGCGCTTGAATTCCAGGAATTGATTTGTCGCTCCGGCTTCTGAGCGGGTCCAGCCTTGTGAGTGCTCAATCATTATCGGTTTGCGAAGTTCCTGCGAAGGTGTGCCTGAACAATGAGCGGGCGCAACAAGTATGATTCTCTACCGTCTTATTATTTATTTTATATATTTTATAGCTCCATTGCCGTTGAAGCGCTTCCCTCACCTTTGAACTTCTAATGCCACTTGCTCTAGATCAGATGCCGGCTTGCATTGTGGGTTCAGAACACACCTCTCTCAGAACCAGGGTACGACAAGATCCGCACTGCTAAGCGGCCCATGTGCAATGACGGTGCTACGAATACTGCCATGTTTTTCCCGTCGCCAGGTCCAACCTCGACAGCAGCAGCTCCGAAAAACCGAAACCTCCACCCTATCCTTCGCTGGCCCGAGACGGTGGAAGGGACGAGCAGCCACCCCCGTACCGCACCCCTGGTCGTGACGAGAAGCACACTGCTGCAGATGCAGGGACCAAGAAAGAAAGGGCCCCGAAAGGCATTGGGAACCTACTGCCCACGAGGGTGAGACGTACCACGTGGCAGGGACACATCTGATCTGCAAAATGCGTACGTACGTGACACCTACACCCAGACCTGGTAACACGGATGTAGTTCTGGCGTTACCCAGGAAGTTGAATAGTGAGCGCAGGACGCATCATTCTGTCTGTAGCTAACCTAGTCTAAGGGATGCTCGCACCCAAAACTAGGCATCTACGCCCAACAAGAACCTCCAGTGGTTGCTCTCTTAGGCTGGTTGGTCGTCTTAACTAGCTCGTAGCAGATTGCGGCCGTTCTCTCATAATCGCCCTGATGAACATTCAGTGTGAGGAAAGTTTCTGAACAACGGTGGCAGGTGGTGCAGAGTCGTTGCGTTCAATACGAAAAGGTAGATGTGACGTCCAGACCAGAACGCTCAAAGACTACTGGTTGTTGGAGGGAATGGGCAAGTGTGCATAATTGAACGAGTCGTTCGCACGAGCGCGACGAGATGGCTCGCCGAACCAACCAAAGGCAGTGCCGCTCCCGAAAGCGCTATCGTACGAGAAAAGCCCGAGTACTCTCCGCGGGGTATTGCTGGATGCTGGGACGTACTACAGCAAAGTGGGTGGGGCATCTTTGAGTGGTTGGTGAATACTGAGCAATGGCTTGGCTGTACCGTGTGTCCCGGGGACTTGCTTCCGTCATCCCCCCATGCCTACGGAAACCATGGGGATTTTCTAACCACTTCATCATGTATGTCGACCGTATGTTACGTGATACTCGTGGCGCCGTGCATGTTTCGATGGACGGCTGTTGTTCATGTGCTGCAGACGTGGCGCAACGTGAAGTGGAAGGAGAGCCCAACGACAAGCGATCACCGTCGCGCACCTATGCAGGACACCAGCGTGAGCTTCAGACACGTGCATGAGTTCGGAGTAGCAACCGAAATCGAGTTTAAAATGCCAGAGAAGGACGTGTTCAGAGTTAAGGCTCCACATCGTGAGAAGGTTGGAATCTGCGTCATGGGCGAGGTGTGGTCTCAGTTGAACCTACCCCCATTGTCTCCCGGTCGCTGCTCTGATTTGTCATTGCCAGAACTATCAAGTGGGAGATGGGCTAGTTCGAGGCAGAGTGAACCGGGAGATCCTCGAGAACGTCTTCGGCGAAGCCCTGCTTTCCTCAATCGCAGCGTACAACAGGCAGCGAGCGCTGAACAGCCTTGCTTGTAGCGACAGCGACGTCGGGGACGAGAAGGAAGGACAAGGCGAGGATGATGGCGAGCTCATAGGCACCGACCAGACCGCCGGGAAACTTCAGGTGGCCATCACGAGTAGTAGTTGTTTCTTGTCGTGAACAATTCAGGTACACAACGGTGAAAACCTCGCCACAAACCTGAGAGCTACGGTGGCTATGGTTGTGGCGATAGTATCGAAAGTGTAATCCATTGGAAACAGTCCTGCTGTTGGTTGTGAAGAAGGCAACAGCAGTAACACCTTTATCACGCACCAGCAACGTCTAGTCTAGAGGCCTATCGCTTTTCGAGGATCTCTTTCGATGGAGCACGTCGAGTGTGTGGCTACCTCTTCGTGCCAGGGAGAACGACGAGTTTTAGACTCGCGTTTGGCCTGTTACTCTCCCGAAGTGAACATGTCCTCCTCGTCGACAGTCGGTCCAATGTCCCAATCTTGGTTGGATACTCCTGGCAGTATCAACCATTCGATGCTGGACAGTGGATAGTCAGTTATTCGACCGCCTGGAGTAACACGACGAACGTGTCCCGTCGAATCCCTGTGCTCTCAGGTGGTCGTTTCTGGACCTACCGCCTTTGTGGCCAACGTGAAGCAGCTCCTTACCCAAATGGGGGTCCCTGCCGGCTCCACAGTCTTGCTCGACTGAATACCGAGCACGTTCCGGTCGTCGGTGGTTGACCCAGCATGTGAGACGATGTTCTCTCAGGATATTGCAACCTTCTTAGAAGAATGGTCAAGGGGCAGATCCGCCTAACCACACGAATTCGAAGTGTCATCGTCTTCGGGGAGGTTTGCACGTTGTCCTATCTGAGGTTGACCTGAAGCCTTTTCACGAAACATGGTCAGTGTTATTTGTGTCCATGGACGGCTTTCTCTCACTTCCACGCCGAGCATATTAGGGCTGCGTTGTGGGTGTAATGGCCGATGGGCTACGAATGTTTGTTTGTACTCTGCTGTCCGGCCTATTCCTATGTTCTGTTTTTTTCGAGTTTTTTTTGTCGAGGCGCACTGAAATACGACAAGACGGCCACCGATCGTAGCCCAGGTTTCCTATAACATCACGTAGTGTCTTGCTTCTTTTTTGGAGATGTATGGCAGGCTATCTTTGTTTTCATGATGGAAGGACTGGGGTCCCACACGCCCGATAGGCTGTGTCTAGCAGTTACGCTAGTTAGGGACGGGGTTCAAGCTAGTTTGTGCAATGAGTGGTGGCAGTGCAATTATGTCAAAGTTGTTGAACAACCGATTCGTTTCAGGGAATAGTACCTGCGGGTAGGGGAGTAAGAGTCGTTTCCTTTGTGTTTGTTTCTTCCAGCTTCTATTAGACTACTGAACGCAGGGGTAGGTTTGATGCAGGGATCACAAAACATCCCGTTCTTAAATGATCCCCGTCGAATTGCCATGGCCTTTTCCAGCATTATTTGGGACGCCGGAATGTATCACGTATGGCCGGGCCCACTAACAACAGAACGGGACGACTTGACCTTCATTTTGTTTTTTTCAAGGTGTAACCAGTATCACGCGGCGTTGACATCAACAGTTTAGTAATTTAGGTACGCGTGAAAGTGTCACGTAGGGCGCCCCCGCACGAGAGCCCAAGAGAGGTCGACCTCTAGTCTACCATTATGTCGGAGAGGACCAGAGAGAGAAAGAGCAGCGCAGGGATATGGAGCAAGGTGGACAAATTGCAGGGATTTCTAGCAGACTGAGTGAGCCATCCCACCCAGCGCCCAGTCCATCATTTTGTTTTCTCATGGAGGAAAAGGAGAGGGAGTGAATGAATGCAGGGACAACGATGAGAAGAGCAATCCAAAGCACACGCGCATTCAAAGTAGTAGCAGACATAACCAACACGTACGTGCCGTTTTCTTATGAATGATGTTATTGCTATGTACCTGTACGGTGGTATATATCCCTGTCCTTAATCCGGAGAGTAGCGTAGCATACGGGCCCATGGCGCTCGGTCACAGGATCCCAGATCGTGGCCTTAGAACGATTTTGAATTTTTCTTTCCGCAGCACGGCGACAGACTTCTTTTCGTTGGTCAGCCGGTTAGCGCAGTCGATGCTACATAACAAAAAGACACACGCACACACGCCGCAACTCCAAGTATGCAAAACAGCAAGAGGAGAAACAGGTGACAATAAAAAGAACCCGTACATCTCGGGAATGAGTGTAGGCTTGTGGGTGTTGACGGTTGTCCCGTATCGGGTTTCGAAGAGGTGTTGTTGATTATGGTCGAAATGGTAGTCTATATCTTGCTGTTAAATTCGTTCGCGCTCTGTCCACACTTTGTCCACGCGCAAGTATCTTAGATGCGTCTGCAACAGCAATAACCAACCACATTTGATTGATATACATAAGGAGAGCACCCGATCACGCAATGATATAGTCACAGGTCAAAGGCAAACTCAAGTGCTGCGTGGGAGCCTGCCTGTACGCATCCGGTACAGCTGCAGCGCTGTAGCAACTCGCGCTGTGCCGCTGGACGCCTTCGTGTGCATCTAGGAGTGGTTTGACTCTGAGTACGAAGGGCGTCCGAAGGAGAAGAACATGGGTTGGCGTGAAACTATTTTCATGAGTATGCAGAGCAAACAGGATGTAGAAAAAACAGAGTGAACCCCCCGAGGTGGATCTCTCCAGAAAGAAAGCAGAGTACCAAAGTGGCAGAGGAGTCGAGAACCCCTCAACAAGAAGCAGAGTGAGAGCATGGGCGACTGCGCGATCATCCTCGAAATCATGGAATCACACCTACCTATCCGGCAACGTCAACCAATCACTCACGTGTATTATGGAAAGAGGTTTTACGTCAAGCTCGCCAAGGGGGCACGTAAAGAGTCATCCCGCACACCTATTCCCGTCAGCAGGAACGGTGATTTTCAAGATACAGCGCACCTCAGATAGCATTGCCGATGGTGGAGGTACCGCACCCCTCCATCCAGTTTTCGCCCAATTCGTCCGCGTTCTTTTCTCCCAGACAAGAGGACGGGTGACCGACGACGTCGGTGCCGGTGCTGATGGTGATGGCGACAGTCGCCGTGTCGTGGTGCTACACTTTCCAGTTTTTTTCGTACAACTACAACCATCCAGGGTCACGCAGGAGGAGGTAAACACCAAGGCTTTTGACCTTCTTTGTATTTGTTTCATGCCCCACCTTCCTCCTGCGGCGCGTGCAGCATTTTTTTATTGTCGCGAGAATGGTCCAGCCGTCCCTTTCCCTCGCCAACGGTGCTAACGTCGAAGCTTAGTACTCACGAGCGCTTTCTACCTATAGGTCTATTTCACTTCCATCCTCAAAAGTTGCAAAACGTTCTACGAGGATACCACTAGACCACCGGGGTGACCGATTTCAATGGTGATTGCCGAATGTAATAGCGACCATTGTTTGTCTGGGTCTCTGGTGCCCACACCCCTCTCTTTGTCGTAAGTGTGTGTCCCCTTTTTGTTCCCCACATGCCGGTAGGGGAGGGGGAACGAGGTTCGTTGGCGGACGTCCCAGTGGCCTAGGGCATTTTCCCTCTGTGTTGCGTTCTTGCACGCCGTTTGGTATGTTTGGTTCTTGATCGTTGAATGGGGCTACCGATGCCGCAAAATGCCGCCTCTATGTGAACAGCTGCCGTAGACTAATTTAGTACCCGTGTCTGCTTTGCCAGTTGCCATCAAGGAGCCGTGTCTGTCTTTCCATTGGCGTCATCGGCGATGCTCTTTTGCAGGTGGAGATGGGTTTCTTGTATTTTCCCTGTGGGTGGTGCTGAATGTTTTGTCACGCACCTCGAGAAATTATCGCCCCTCCTGCCCGCAGATTCCGGATGGTGATCTTCGACAAGGAAGGAAAGCCGACACGATCGTCACCCTCCATTCCAATTGCTGCCTTTCTTTTGTGAAACCACATCCTTCTCCGAGTACTTACTTTCACGAGTTCTGGCACTGAGGTTACGGTTATTTGTCGTGGTCGGCAGGCCGCACAATGTAACTCATATCGATGTATACAATAATTCACGCGCGCGCCGGAGGCAGACGATGTCGCTTTCTGTCATGTTTGAGAGCGGTCTCAGAGGAAAGTTTCCGAACGCCCGCGGCGGCGTGGATCTAACGCAAGCCTCGAATAGGAGAATTCGTCCTGTATAGTAAACCGTGGCCACAAATCGTTGCCTGGTCTTGTAGGGGCCGGGGGGTTCGTCGATGTTGTGTTGTATCGGCCAGTTGTCGATGTAGTGGAGCGTTAGGGCCGTTTTAAACTGACCGACTTTTTGTCAAAATTTTGGAAGTGTCAAAAAAATGGAACCTGTATGTAGGCGTTTGTCCATTTTTTTCAAAAATATTTGGAACGAAGTTGGGCGCGAAAACTTTGCTCCACTTCGTTCCAACTTTTTGACAACCCTCTCAAAGTATTTGGAGCACTTTCCAAAGTACCCTTGCAGAGGCATGCGAGGGCTGCTGCGTCTGCACCACGAGTGCCCCTCACCGTAGAAAGTCAGCTAGGGTTGTGTGTGAGTCATGGCCGACCGTAGAAAGCGCGGCGCNTCTATCTTGCTGGAGAGCAACCCTCCACCGCCTACGGCGGCACCGAGAGAGCCCGTCTGCTGGAATTTCGCCGGGGTTTTGGTCTGCCGGCCACGCTGGGTGGTCGTGATATCCATGTCGGTGTCCATGATGTCGTGTTTTCCGCGGTTTGTGTTGTGTCGTGTGTGTTGTCTCGAAGTGAGCACTACAACTCACGGACGGCGTCATTTTTTTTGACACAAGTTGCACAAGTCTACGTCACACGTTTAAAATAACTGCACACAGGTTCCAAGTTTTTGAAAGACAAAAAATGACGAAAATTTTGACAAAAAAGTCGGTCCGTTCAAAACGGCCCTTAGAATCTGACAGACACAGGCCAGATCCTTCGGAATCATTTTCGTATCAACACCACGTGTCGAGCATCACGTTTCCGCGAGATTTTTTGCTGTGTCTGTGAGTAGGGCGGCATACATTTGTTTTTTTCCCCCAACAAGCTCATCGTGGACGTTTACGAAAAGCTCTGCCCTGCGTGAACACTAGGTTTTTTCGGAACGTTGTAGGTGATGTCCTAGGGGAACCCAAAAAAGAACGGGTTCCCCACCGCGGGCCCCTTTTGCTTTCTATTGGAAATAGACTGACCCCCCCCCGAAAACCCGAACAAGACGATGGGTACTACGTACTGCTGTAGGTGTCGGAATTTGTTTCTTTCGTGCCCCCTTGAGCACTCAAGAACCGAGTAAAATCCTTTCACGCACGCTAGTCGGAGATACTTGCGACCCCTAGACGGCGATGCATCTTTCCAAGAACCCAGGTCTGAGTGCTTGCAATATTATATGCTTCTTCTGGAAAATTGGACTAGGCACTTGCTGTATATAAAACATTTAACGCCAACCAATCCGCATTCCGAGCACATGTATGACATAGCAACATTGCCAATATAGTTCAACTACAGTAGTGAAGCTGATTTTGCCTCATACTGAAACTACGGTAGTGCCAATTTTCCGACATTACTGGAGTTACGGTAGTGCCAAATTCCAACGTTACGAGGCCGCCACCAGTCGTAGGTGCACCCCTACCAACAATGAATATAACTAGAGGGGTAAACGTTATACGACCACCACGAGGTAGAAATTAACAAGAGAGGAGGGTGTGACACGAAATACTTACCAAATGTGATGCCCGCTGAAAAATCCCAACAGGTAAAACGAAACACAAGTCAACTCCCTGCGTGTTCACTGTAAGTGAAACCGTCAATATTCGCCGTTCCTCGCCCAACTTGAAATGTTAATATTTCGAATGTGCACCGACAGAGAATGTTTTCACGTGCACACATTTTATTTACTTCATCCAAGAGATGATCTAACTGACAAAACACAAACAGAAACCACTCACTGCTGTGGCCACGTGGTGCGTCTCGAACCCGCCGTCACTCCCGTCACTGCAGTCGTGCCGTGTCCCGCTAAGGTTACTACTGGTGCGGTATTCCACGCCCCCGCCGTTGTAGCCAATCTGTTAGATAAACTCGCAACAGTATCTGGCCGTGAGGACCCCAGGGGGATACGTGTTGGGAATTTCGTGTGTTGTAGGGTACCACCGGTGCAGTCTCGGGGACCCTTTTGGCGTGGTTGGTGCGATGAGACTTGCGTGCGTGCTGCGCACTTCTTCCTTCTCTCTCTCCACCGCCACCGTCGCCTCTCTCCAATCAAGTTTCCTTCTCCCACTCACTCCCCACCTCTCCCACCACCTCTCTCTCTCGGCCTAGCACGGCTGACTACCCAGTGCCTCAAGTAACGCTCAGGACGGGCTTGCTGCACCCCGCGTAGTTTACCTTTCACACTAGTGTGAAAAAGATATCACAGTATCTGCGCGCCGGCGTAGCCTTGCGGGGGTTGTGCAGTCACGCGCCATCGGTAGACTCCCACAACAACAGACACCATGGAGGGCATCGACCTCTCCGCCCTTAGCGGTAAAGAGCTACAACAAAGAGTGGAGGAGATCATCCAGCAACGAGTACAAGCCGAACTTGAAGCCAACAGGATCAACGAGGGTGCAGACACCTAGAATACGCCCAACCGCCAGCCGTCAACCCGGTCCCACCTACTGGCAACCAGCCATCACCCTCCAGCCAG